AGTAATAGGATGGATGGATAGATAGAGATGAAATCTAATTATTAATTTTATAAATAGGCACCAAATCCTATAATGTAATGTGTTCAACTTGACCATTTAGGCCAAGATGAGCAAAAAGAACATCACAAACTGCTGCCCATGTCTGCTCAACCACGGTCTCATTCAGATTTTTCAGTTTGCTTTCCCGTTCTGTGCAAAATGAGCACAAGCTCTTATTCTGTGTTGTTCGGTGACATGTTGTCAGCGGCTAAAGCGCTATGATTTTACCGCGGGTACAGGGTGTTATTAGGCATGACGTGAAGTGCCGGCAACAGCAATTTGATGAAAGACAACAGAGTAGACTAGAAGTGAAATTTAATGGAATAAAAAACAACTCTTCCACCAAATCATATACTGCATTATTCTAAATCTCAGGCAATTGTCAAGCAGCATAGCAACTATGTGTGCCATTGCAGTGTAAATGAAATTAAATCTGCATGCTGTATTATGTGGTTAGTACTTATCAAACACTACTAACAAGAAAAACACAAAATTACTCACTGCTCCAGGCTAGAAACTTTAGTAGATTTAATAAACAATCAAAATGAAATGAATGAGTTACACCTAATGTAAAAATAGAAACTCTAATTGTGATATTTAAAAGGAGACACGTGAGGATTCAAGTGCTTGAATTAATAAATGAAAAGAAAAATGTAAGAAAAGCATAAAGAGTGTTGCACACTATTTTGGTTACGAACGAAAACTATTAAAATAGCTTTCATTAACTGAAATAAAGCTGAAATAAAACAAAATATACAGTTGTGGTCAATATTTTACACTTTGCAGTATCTGCAAAATGTTAGTTATTTTACCGAAATAAGAGGGATCATACAAAATGCATGCTATTTTTTATTTAGTACTGACCCGAGTAAGATATTTCACATAAAAGATGTTTAGTCCACAATAAAAAAAGTTGAATTTATAAAAATGACCCCATTCAAAAGTTGGCATACACTTGATTCTGTGCTGTTACCTGGATGATCCACAGCTGTTTTTTTTTATTTATTCATTTGTAATAGTTTTTCCTGTACAGTTAAACTGCCCGCTGCTCTTCAGAAAAATCCTTCAGGTCCCTTAAATTCTTTGGTTCTGTTTGCACAAGGTTAAATTCGATCCGCTCTGAATGAGATTCAAGATGCAATCCCCACTAGGTGGCAGTACAAATCACTGCACAGTCAAAAACAACATTTTTGCACTTTTTCCAAAAAAAAAAAAGTGACATCAATGGCTTTTAAAGATAAAAAGATGCAACTGTGCAAAGTGAAAGATTAGATAGGGTGACGTTTGTCATGCAAATTCTCTTCGTGTAGCCTAGACTTCATCAAATCACACAAAAACTGTTACTGAAAAAGCGTCTATACGCAATGTAACTTCTAGCCTACATTTAAAGTTTTGTTCTGGGCCGAAATGAATGTAAAACAATTAGTGCCGTATAGTGGAATGGAAGAAGGATTTGTTTCTTACAAACAAGCAGCTTTTCACTTCTCAAGAAGTTAAATGATGGATTGGAGTGGTGTGGATTACTGTGAAGTTTTAATCAGCTGTTTGGACTCTCATTCTGACGGCACCCATTCACTGCAGAGGATCCACTGGTGAGCAAGTGATGCAATGCTACATTTCTCCAAATCTGTTCTGATGAAGAAACAAACTCTACATCTTGAAAAGCCTGAGGGTGAGTAAATCTTCAGCAAATGTTTATTTTTTTTGGTCAATTATTCCTTGAACAAGTTGCACAATCAAAAAAAATGAATAAATAAATAAATCTCAGTTTGTGGGGCAGAATTGTTTAGATTAACTAGTGCAGCAGCAGTACTTGATTTGAGACACCATCTTGAACCTCAATCTGTATTTCCGCATCCCATTTTCTTTGTTTCTTTCACCTTCTCTCAAATCTGTTATATAAATCTCCTAATCATTCTCTCTCAGATTTCTGCTTTAATTGCTCTACTGCAGTCGTCTGTACACTACAATGTTTCACTGTGGGAATGAAATGAATCCAATACGCAAAAAACAAAACAAATTTAGACAAAAAAAAGAGACCGTAAAAAAAGAATGAAATTTGGGAAATGATCTCTGATGAGTTTCCCAGCAGGAAAAGCCCCTCCCCACTTCTCATTTTCTTTCATCCACACTGTTGTACACTCTTCTCCTTGATCTACCCGTTTCTCCCTCTTTTTGATTCTCCAGTGTCCACATTTGTTCTTTCAGAAACACCACATGCATTTCTCTCCTGCGAGTTTCTTCCTCCACTAATGAGTTCAAATGAGGCAAAATGCACACATCACACGAAACACCAAAACACATTCACACACATATGTGCACACTCGACTTCTCAATAATAAATACAGACCTTGAGGTCCTTGAGATAATAAAATATTGAACAGTTGCTTCCAATATGCATGTCTACACTTGGAGGTCACTGTAGCATTTAAATGGACCTAAGTGGCTTCTTTGTGTTTGCAGAGCAAAGGCTGGAAAGCTTATTTATTCAGCTTTCAGATGATTTACAAATCTCAATTTTGAAAAATTAACACTTAAGACTGGTTTTGTGGTCCAAGGTCACACACACACACACACACACACACCAAGACTGCATTTATTTATGAAAAAATACAATAAAAACTGTAATATTGTGAAAATGTATTACTATTTCAAATAACTTTTCTATTTTAATAACAAAACATGACAAAAACATTATTCACTACTATTGCTAGACAATTGCAGGTGGTAGAGAGCATTTCTAGAAGGCATTTTATTGGACAAACATATTTTGGAGTTCTGGATTTCTGTGATGCTTTTTTGTCTTTGGGATAATAATTATTCATAAAATTTGAAGTAGAATCTGTGTTCACACTTGTGTCACAACAAAACTGGAGTCACTGTGAAAACATGATTTGCTACTATTGCTAGTTGATATCAACTGGTAGAGAAGGCATTTTTTGGACAAAAAATCTGCTAAATTAAGATAATTTTGTAAACATTTAAGAGTACACTTGTTTGCAGATTGGCCCCAAAGCTAACAGACAGACTAAACTCTCATTTTGATTTCATGAGGTCTCCACCTGCACTGCTACATCTAACCCAGACTATTTGTCATGTTAAACAACCCACCGATTCACTTTCTTGACTACAAATCCAATAGGAAATTTCTCCATTCATACATCAACGTCAGTGCTTGTGTCTGGCCTTGTGTTTTGCCTCGCAGCAGTGCAACGGTCAAGTTCAGCTTTGTCTCCGAGACAGTTGCCCTCCATTCAGCCATAACTGATTCACAATGCCGTTCTCTGGATCGCGCACAGGTAAACGGCACATCGTGATGAACAACAACAGTATGTCCTGGCCCATCGGATAAACATTTACTCGGATACAGTGTCAGCACAGTGACAGGCAGAGAAGCGGATGCAACATTTATGAGATGCGCTCTCTGGATCTCGTGTTGGTTTAGCGCCAGACTCTTTAAAGCCTTGTGTTCTGTATAAGCAGCTGGCAAAGTTACTCAGTGTGAATCGCAGCTAATGCGATCCATCCAGTGCAGCTCATTACAGAGCGTGTGCGAGCATCTGGGGTTTTTAGTGCATGCCTTTGTCTGTGCATGTGTTTCTAAATGTGGCCAGCGAGCATGTAATCGTGTTTTGCAGTCTTTTTTTTCTGGAGACATCTAATAATTACTGCCCAAGTCCAAGTCCCATGTTTAATAAACTCTTGAGGTAATGCAGTAGCCTTGATTTATTTATAAAAGAACCATCCAAATGGACCTTGTAAGCAACCGCTTAGCAACGTGGAGAGTGTAGGCATGTTTGCAAGCTTAAAATGTTTTGAAAAATTCAATAAAACCACAAAGGGATCAACATTCTGTAACCAAAAAGTTTGGAAAATTTAGATTATTTTTTTTTAATGTTTTGGTGAGTCTCTTATGCTCACCAAGTCTTCATTTATTTGATTAAAAAGATATATATTGTGAAATCTTATTAGAATTTTAAAATAATGGTTTTCTATTTGAATATATTTTAAAATGTAATTTATTCCTGTAACGCAGAGCTGAATTTTCAGCATCATTCCTCCAGTCTTCAGTGTCACATGATCCTTCAGAAATCATTCTCATATCATCGTTTTCAACACTGATAATAATAAGAACCCTTATTAATAATTAAGCACCAATAATAACTGATAATAATGAAACAATAAATCAGCATATTAGAATGATTTCTGAAGGATCATGTGACACCGTAATGATGCTGAAAATTCAGCTTTGCATCACAATGTAATAAATTACATTTTTAAATAAAATATATTCAAATAGAAAACAGTTATTTTAAACTGTAATAATATTTCACAATATTGCCATTTTTACTGTATTTTTTATCAAATAAATGCAGCCTTTGTGAGCAGAAGAAACTTCTTTCAAAAAATATATACCGGTATATTAAAAAAATCTTAATTATTCCAAACTTTTGACCAGTAGAACATATGTATTTATTTCTTCTTGCATTTCTTTTTTGCTCACAAAAGGCGTTTTCTTTGAAGACTCTGACTTTATGAACAATGAAAAACATTTTTCAAAATATCTTCTTTTGTGTTCCAACGACATGAGGATTCATGAATGAGTCAGTAAATGACAGAATTATCATGTTTCAGTGTTACATGATACTCCTTTAAAGCCAACATAAAAATCAGTTTCCTGGTCTTTTTGTGAGCAATTTGTCAGTGCACATTATTCCAAAGAATATGCATTTTGTAATTCTTCCCATTACAATTCCTACCAGAACCTCTTCTGAAAAGACTTTTCTTTTCATCTTATGTAACCAAGGCATTTTATTTTTCATCTTGAATACCTTGTTTGACTCGATACTTTGGATTACAGAAGAAAAATGAGTTGCTAACACGTTTCATCAATTTAAGTTGATCATTATTTTAAATTAGCATGCAGGCATAACAATGAATTATACAAATGTTCACCTTACCCGTCCAATCAGCACCGGTTCTGGTCCACTGTATTCCTCTATCACAAAAAACTGGTTCCAGATCCAGCTTCTTCGGCTGCGGGATTGTGAAGGCATCTCATCCGGTCCAGTAAAGGTCTTGTGGAAATCACCACTGCTGTCTGATTCCTGGTTTCCCATCATTACAGTTTGCACTTCCTGTCCGCTGCTATTTAACCCAGATGGAGGCTTCAGAGGGATCACACTGGCATCCGATGGGCCATCCAGAGTGGATCTGTCAGGTTTAGTTTCCTCTACTGTAGGAGTTAGTTCAGTGGGAACGAAACGATCTTGAGATATTCTAGATATTTTGGAGTCCTGGCTAAGAGTTAATAATGTCATCTTTGGGATTTCAGGGATATCTTTGGATTTGGGATAATAATTATTCATATTATGTGGAGTAGAATCTGTGTTCACACTCGTGTCAGACAACGAAACCGGAGTCACTCGAATTTCAAATTCCAATTTTGCAGTTTCTTCAATCTGTGCATGATGCAGTCCTGATACAGACTCAATTGCGTCTTTGTTGCTTTTTAGTGAAATCCTCAAATTATCCTCATTTTTCTTTGCCAAACTTGGTGTTCCGGCTATGTTGGCAAATGGCATCTCACTTTGCCTTTCCTCCACGTATAGACGCTCCACCTGAATTTCTTTCTTTGCGGTTTCCTCACTCTTCCATCTTTTTAGACGAGCACTGCTTCCCCCGAGCTCTAAGCACACGCACAGAAAGAGCAATGCAGCCCAGATATGGCCACTCATCATGCCTCACTTCGTTATTAGTCACAATGTTTGCCACAGGGGGAAGAACAATAAGATCGACCTTCACTCACGCTCTGTCTCGCAGTGTGGGATGCTGATCCATTCATCTCCTCTTCTTAATTCCTTATTCTCCGTGAGTCTCAGTGGTCATTTAGCATCTTATCCGCTTTTTTGGGGATTATATTTCTCGGTTTAGGTCCGGTTAAACACAGATGGTGATTCCCATGGTTTTGGTTTGATCAGGGAAACCTGTTCAAAGAGATAAGGGGATGAGAATCAGTGCTGATCATGAGTAAACGTAATTGGGATTTGTGGTTGGGATTACTGAAAAAATAACACAGTTTCAATCACTTTTTCAATCCAAAAGTGATTGAAAAACCTTTCATTATTTGTCATTATTGTTTTTGTCTCTTTTGTGTGAAATCCTATATTTTAATGTATAAAATACCTTTCACAATACATTTCAAATCAATTTAAAGTAGATTTTCAGAAAAATCATGATGGTTATAATATTTTATCATATTCATGTCATGTCAAATTAAGCAGATTAAGAGCTAGGTGATAGTATTGTTTACATTTTGCGACGATACAAGCAATCAAGCAGTTGAGATATGTTTGGACAGGACCTGAGTTAAATATATGAGTGTCACAGCAAAGGGTCTGAATACTTAGGACCATGTGATATTTCAGTTTTTCTTTTTTAATAAATCTGCAAAAATGTCAACAATTCTGTGTTTTTCTGTCAATATGGGGTGCTGTGTGTACATTAATGAGAAAAAAACTTAACTTGAATGATTTTAGCAAATGGCTGCAATATTGTTAAGAGTGAAAATTTTAAGGGGGTCTGAATACTTTCCGTACCCACTGTATATATATATCACCTTACATGAGTATACATATGCAAATAAAGTTGGACATACATATATATGAGACTTTTTATATAAAAAACTGGGTGATGATACAGTCGACATTTTGCAACCTTACAAGCAATCATGCAGTTGACATTTTCTATATAGTATATTTCACTATGTATGTATACTGTATGTATGCGAATGAAGTTGGACATATATTCAACTTTATATAAAGAGCTGGGCGATAATATATTTACTTTTTGTGAAGAGACAGAAATCAGGCAGCTGAGAATTTCCACGTAGTGTATATTGCTATACATGTACAGTTCTGTATGTACGCAAACAATAGCTGTGCAAAAATACATTTTACATTAGCTAATATTTCTGCAATGATATAAAGAATCACGACAACACACAACAGATACATATTGCTTTATATCTATACTTAAAAGTGAAATGGACAAAAGCAGACAGCTTGTCGAGTCTAAACATGTTCAAAATAAATTACAATCTTGCACCTGTCCGGCAACATCTTTTAACAGCTTTAGAAGCAAAAACCAATATTGCAATATTCCTTAAACTGCTCTTTTAAACTTTATGTTCATGAAATGTAATTCCTGGCTTGCATTTTAGGTGGCTAAGCACTTTGAAACAGTCAATCACTTGGGTCTTGAAAATGTGTTGATTTGTGTGATTGAGCATTTTACAGTGCTGTTTCTAACTGTACGGACGAGGTTATTGCTGTCCATATTAAGGCTACAGTTCAACCATTTTACATTCTGGCACCAAACCATATCCTCATTCACTTATACAGCACATTTTTAGAGGCACATCTAAACTGAAAACAGCTTCACCATTTCAACAAGCAATACTAACTATCTTTAAACAAGACTATTGGTGAAAAACTGTCCTTTTAAAAAGTATTTTATAATAATTTTACTACAACTTAAGTGTTTTACAAAATTCTAGCTTTACTTCCTTTGTGGAAAAAGACGTACACTTTAGTGTACTTTAGTGTTCATTTTACCGTTAAACGACCATAAGAATTTTGACCGATTAATACAATCAGTTAAACGGTTTAAAAAGTCATTAATTTATTTATTTTTCAGTAATTTATCAAAATATTTTAAAAAAATAAGCTACGCGTATTTAAAAAAATGTGTATAAGTCGTATAAATAATTTTATTATTTCATTCAGAAGTAGCTCTAATGCCGACGTGAAATGTATACAAACATAATAATAAACACTGTAAACATAGCTAGGCTATTTTAATTCCCCTCAACAAATCCTTTAAATTAACAGCATTTAGAAAAGAACAAGAATTAAAAATATAAGAAGCTATAGCAATATAAATGACAAGCCAAAACGAATTCATTTCGGCTACAACGAAACTGAAACCAACGCTGCGTCTCTCATTTGACACAAAATCAAATGTTTCCGTATTCGCGATGTATTTGAATGCCAAATTATTATTTATTATGTAGCCTACTTCACTGGCATTCCAATATCCACGTAAAACAAAATGTTTTGCATAACATCATGCGGTACGGTGATAACACTTAACGGCACAGATTTTACTACATATTTAAACTGAGCAGTGTGTGTGTTTTTTTTCTCCATATGTTAGGTTTTATTATGATAATGAACATGCTGCATTGTCAATGTAGCAAAGCTTAACTGTGTGCACATGCGGCGCCGGCGCAATCACTTGAATTTTTCCTTCTAACAGTGGAAGAAACTACTCCTTTTAGTCATAAAGATAATCGGAATTGTAAAAGGTTTGCCTTTATTTGTGTACATTCACATTCACAAATCTTTATGCTTTTGTAAAGTAAGCCTAAAGAAAAATAGGATGCCACTTTCTGCTGTCTGATTTCCTTTTGCGCAGCACAAAAATCAATCGAATAATTTATTAAGTAAAAATATATATCTCATATAGGTGCCAAAATCAATACACGAGTTTCACAATTTGAGTTGAATTACTGAAATAAATGAACTTTTCCACGACATTCTAATTTATTGAGATGCACCTGTATATAGCTTTATGTTTTTTCCACTAGCAGAAGCACTGCAGGTGCGTGATGATGTGATATGATGAGCATGTGAATCAGGGGAATCCCGGGAAACAAATGCTAGTATTTTTAAAAGGTCACAGACACTTATCCTTTCTAATTCAAATGATCTTAATTCAAGTCTAATTTAAAATAATCTTGTCGGTTAACGGTTAATAATCGGTTAACAAGCGTCGGTTAGGAAAAATAACTGAAATGAACATCCCTACTTCATAACGAAATGATATACTTAAGCACAAACTGAATGCAATGTTTTTAGCCACTTAACTGCACATTAATTGCAATTAAATAAAAATGTATTATAGTTTAAATTTATATTAAATGCAATTAGCTGAACTTTACTATAGCAGCAATTAGCTGAATGCAATTAACTTTCAATGTAAAAGTGCATCTGTATTTTTATTAATTTATTAATTGAAGTTATGTTTTTAGCATCTTTTGTCAAATATATTTTTATGTCATTTCTGTTGGAGCTTGTATGCCATGTATTTAAATATATTTGTAAATACACATTTATAATGATTCAAATATTATAATTTTAAATATATTAACTTCAAATATATCAAATAACACTACAGTTAAAATTAAAATCAAGTACTTTACATGTGTTTTAGTATGTTCGTCTACACATCATCATCATAACATGTTTTTATATAAAGCGTGACAAGACTATTAAAAAAATTATTATTTAAAATGCGCACTTTTTAAAAGTGTATTGAAGTGTGTTAAGAAACTGTTATGAAAGTGTACTTAAGTACAGTTTTTTTTTTTTTTTTTTAAATAAATACTTTTAAGATTTGAAATATACTACAAGTGCACATTTAATGCAATTAATCACCCTTCTTTTTCTCACGGGTACACATCTGAATTATTTGACCATATTCTGGCTTTACTGCATCGAAAAAATATTCAATTTTTACCGTATCTAAAGTATCTTACCTGTACTGGTCAACTGGTAAACATTGCAGGTAAAAATGCTGGTAAACATATTTTTGCTTTCTCTAAAATCATGTTGTGGTCTAAACAGTCAGACAGTTTTCCCTAAACAGATTAAGAGCAGGAGAGAAACAGTCTTGTCCTGAACCAGCCAACCCTGCAGCTCTCCTCACACATTTAGACAGCCTACTTGGATTCCCTGCGAGACAGAAGATAACAGCACACTTTTAGCAAATGTATGGCCATGGCACTAGAGCTAAATTTAACAGCTGTTATTTTTCCTTGATTATCTAATGAGTCTGAACTCATTACACACACACACACATGAAAAGACTTGGCTAAATCCATCTTCAAATGCCTTGCTAAGAGTACTTAGCATTTCTCGAAAAAAATGATACAGTAATGTTGAACCCGGTGCATCTCTCAAGAGACCGCAGTGGTGTAAGTAATCTCTGATCAGTGATTTAGACGGAAACCTCAAATGTCAGCTTTCACAATCCTGACTGGCTCTGAGCTCAGGCTAGTTGGAGAGCTGAGACTCAGGCTACAACCAACCTTTCAATTATCAAAGTCGTGTGACTCTTGAACCTCAATGTTTGCACAGAAGTGAGATTTTGTAATTGTATTTCTTTACAACTGGGAGCTACCCAAGATGAAAGTCTTCGAAAAACTATTTTTTAACATTTTCTCAAGAAAATGTAAGTGGTGCAGAATTGTATTGCTTTGTTGTGCTCAAGCTGTTTACACTATCATGATTCCTTTGAATTCTGTATAGTTCTAGTCTGTTGAGATTATTTAGTGTTACATTTGTATTCTCAGTGTATTTTATTTATTTTTGTTCACTGGTTTTTATGTTTAAATTTTGCATAAAGTATATATGGTCACACTTTATTTTAAGGTCCAATTCTCACTATTAACTATGACTTTTTGCCCGGGTTCAGCGCCTTACTCAAGGGTCTCCCCTCAGTCGTGGTATTGAGGGTGGAAGAGAGCGCTGGTCATTCACTCCCCCCACCTACAATCCCTGCCGGTACCGGGACTCAAACTTGCGACCTTTGGGTTACAAGTCCGACTCTCTAACCATTAGGTCATTAGTGCTTTATAGGTACTAATAAACAGCCAATATGCTAGTAACATGCATGCTAATAAGCAACTAGTTAATAATGAGAATCGGTCCCTAATCTAAAGTGTTACCCTTATTACCAATGTTAATAATTTTGTGGAAACTGTGATAAATTTTTTTCAGGATTCTTTTATAAATATAAAGGTCAAAAGAACAGCATTTATTTGAAAAGGAAATATTTTGTAACTATATCTTTATTGTATCTTTTGGTCAATTTAATGCATCTTTGCTGAATAAAAAGCAAGTATTCATGTCTTTCGTTAAAA